GGCGTCACCTCGCCTACAAACCCTTCCTGGGCTCACGTGTTACACGCTCAGGTATTCGCCTTCGGGCAATCTCCCATCCCCCAATGCAGACTATCCTAGCCACACTCCCCTGTCAGCATTCACACACCACAGTAAGAACAGTCCCAGTTCGTCACACTATATTATTGGGGCATGTTAATTTAGGTTTCCATTTACAGATTGACCTGGAAAAGCAATTAAAGAAAACCCTAAGAATTTTTAAAAGGGTAGGTGTAAGGTACTGATGATGTACCACTGAAATGTCCATAGAAAATAAATAAGTCTACAAATCAGTTTCTCTGCAGAATCAGCATGGTATAAAACTTTTTTTTTTCTTTTTTCAAATTTAGCATAGGTTTCTTTCCTAACATCTCACTCTTGTTCACCTAGATTTAAAGGCTTCTTACGTAATGTGAGCATTTCCATTTCTTGACTGTTTAATTTCTTTTTTTTTTTTAAATTGTTCCAACCTCAGGTAAGCCTCTACCCACAAGAACTCTGGTTCATGTTATCAGTAAGCATGGTTTCTTTTTTTAATTAAAAAGAATAGGCATCTTAAAATTTTTTTTAGAAAGATCTGTTTCTATAGCTTACATTTCATCTGAAGGGACAAGATTATTTAAAAAGCTAGATAAAACTATTTGGGTCACTTGGATAGAGAGAGAGCTGGTTTCTCTTAAAGATAAACTGAAATTTCTTTAAAAAAGGTAATTACACTATAAGAACCCAAATCATGCATAGAAAGCATTCGTTTTTTTAAAAAGTTTCCTCCTTTATTTACCATCCATCATGCTTTAAGTTCAGTTTCTCTTTAACAATCAACATTTTTCAGCTTCCAGATAATGTGTTTTACCTTGAAATGCAAAACCCTTCACTTTGGCCCTGATCCGTGGTGCACTTAAGCATTTGAGTAACTTTTACACACATGAATAGTCCTTTTAGCTAAATGGGAGGACTTGTTACTCATGTGCTTCTGGGCTTGCAGGATCTTGGCAAATGTCAGTATGTAAAAAGGCTCAGGTTTAATCTCGTAATCCTAAACAAATTTAGAATGAAGTTTGAACACATCACAGTGCTTTTCATACTCCAAGTTACCTAAAGAAATTTATAAAGTAATGAACTAGAAACAGGTAGTGCAGGAACTTTCATAAGTTTATTGAATAAGTAAATCCATATATAAGTGTTCTGATCATATTTAATAGTTGTGCAAACCCGTTACACATTACTGGGGTGGGGAGAGAACAAGTAATATTTTACAATCAACCTAAAGAGTCTTCCATGTTTGCCTCATAATACCACTAACAAACCTTTAAATACATTCAGACAAGTTTTATGGGGATTTTGCACAGTACATCACTAACCACCACCACATGCATGTTCTAAATAAAACAGGCCAAAGTGACAGATTATGCTTCTTCCTCAGAGGCTAACCAAATAGTGTAACAGGGAAAGCATACTGTGATTTATAATGTGATAGTGAACTTACATTCTTTAGCTTGAAATATTGTGGTGGGATTTTTACATATAATACACATACACACAGCAATCTTTCAGCAATAAAAAGCCCTATGCAAGAGAAATGCTCTAGTTTAAAAAAAAAAAAAAAAGCTGTCAACTCAACATTTACTGTTGAAGCGTATAATGGTGAAACATTTAATGGTCTGAACAACACTATGAACTTACCACTCCCCATTCAAGTAATCCATTGATAGTTCAAAACAGGTTAATACTTAAGAATTCCTCAGAACAGCATCTATCTGAAATTACTGTGTGTTTTTGGTTTTTTTTGGCTTCTTTTGAACAGTGCTGTTCTCACATGCTGCTGTGGAATAAGACTGGGCTCACAGTATGGCCCTGATGGAGTTTTCTTAGGTGGTGGTAAGGAAACTGAACCATATCCCTGCCATCTTCCAAATGTTTTGTTATGGTAAAATTCTTAAAACTGGGTAGCATGGGAAAATTTCTTCATTCACACCTTGATCATTCTGATTTTTTTAGTCATTAAAAATCATTCCAAAAGGCAAAAATTCACATTTTCAGAGGCAAACTGGCTTAAAAAAAATAAAATAAAATACTTTGGTGATAAGTTCTTTAGTCAGTCTGCTTTACAGTTTGTTCTTATCAACCATACACATTCTTTGCATTTTAAAAACAGTTAAATTAATCAAAACTTTACAGAAAGCTAAAAATACGGCCATGCTAGTGAATGCATTACATGCAGCATCAGATAGAGCATTGCACACTTAGTACAGTGATTTACGAAGACCATGTACTGGTTTAACGTCCATTTTCACTCTTTTTGTCATTGAGACTTACATTATATTTGGGTCAACCAAAAAACCCAAAGAGATTTTATAAAATTTTACAACAATTAAACAGTAACGTTTAATTCTACAAATGGATAAAGCAAACTACTGTAGCTCAATAGTACACCAAGAGGACTAATAGTAGTCACAGTCTATATACACAAGCTCCTACACTACTAAATACCATGTGATATTTACAAAAACATTAAGTAGCTTCAGGTAACATTCCAGAAATACATTTAGTTTATTCCAAATCATTAGTCAGTTGCCTAATAAACTGAAGGTAATGTAATCTTCAGTGACAAACTACATAAAAGTAAGATAGCTGAGGAACATGAAGACCAGCAAGCTAGGGAGCCCTGGGATGAAAACCTGGCCCTACTGACTTGAATAGGTCAGGATTTCACCCAATTTTATTTTTTGCTGTTCTTTATCTAGGACTATGTTAATCTTTGGAGGGTTTTTTTCCTTTTTAAATATATACTCTGGAATTGTTCTATTATACAAATTTAAAAGTGTATTTAAATATTGTGCTCTCAAAAAGAGCATTTATACAAACTCATATTTACAATAAGACACTAATGATCATGTGTTTCTTGAGATCAACTCTTCTGTGTTTGAAGAACTCTAAGCTTAAGTGCTGAAGGTTAATGAACGTTAGTGTTTTGAATTGGCATTTGAAGATATCTTAAAACGTATGTGGATCATTGAATGCTCTAAGTTGAATTAGCTGATCAAGAGACACTAAACCATGTTTATAAATTATTACTTTTAAGAGGAATAACTTACAAGCAAAAATTCTGCAGACCATTTCTACAAGACTTCATCATTTTTTTCCATATTTCTATACAATGTAAACATTCTTGGCTCAACTTAGAAAAAATGCCTTCAAAGAAGTACCTTAGAGAAAGGGTTTGCTGGATTTATACTAGGATTCTACTCTTACTCCTTCCTAATAAATACAAGGCCCTGAAGACGACTGAATTTACTATCAGGTTAAAGTCAGTGAAAGAGTTAAAATGACTAGACAATTCCTACAAGATACGTTATCTCCATAAACCATCCAAAACCTTATGCAGTAACCTCTGCTCAGTATTACAAATAAAGTATGCTGAGAGACACCTCTATCAAACCATCTTGCAAGAGTCTGTATAGGTGGGGAGAAGGAAAACATTTTTCTACATACACATTTAATTCCATGCAAGATGGAAAGTGTGAGTACACAAAACCTCGTTTAAAAACTAAACCATACATGTATAATTAACCTGTTAAGCAGGGTCTACAGCAGTTACATTGTTACAGTTCTATTTATAAACACGTGCAGATGATTCATTAACACTGACACTTTTTACATAAAATTCCATTGCAAGAATGTATTTGTTTAATAAATAGACTAAAGATAACTTATGTAATATAATGCTTTTAAGTGTACACACAATATCTGTGCACACTGTAATAAAGTGGATTTGAAAAGTTGTCCTTGTTTGTCTATAAACTACAAGTGCCCATTTTAAATAAAAAGATTCATAATTACCCATGGGCTACTTCCCTGTGACACACAGTGTCACAAACATGGTGAAAATGCAATATTGAAGTTAGTCTAGAGATGGTTTTTGTACAGTTTTTTTATACAATCAAGAAAAAGAGAGATACAATTTGTATCAACAAACAAAAGGTCATTTCTGGTTATTTGAGGCATTACTCTCAGCTGCTTTTACCATAAAAGAGAAGAGAATATGAAGTAATTGGAAATTAAAAAATATAAAATGCTAGTTAAGATATGCTTTGAAAGTTGGTCAAGAGTAAAAATATTTTTCTATAGTTATTTGCTAACTTTTTGAAGATTAGTTCAATTTTATTAACAGCAATGATCTGCAACTAATTAAAACAATTATTTTTAATACTCCAGGTATGAAGAAAATAATCTTCAAGTTAATGCAATTTGAACATGTAATGATATGGCCATGACAAAATATGTAAGTAGTCTGAGAGGTACCTGTGTGGACACTAAATATTTATCATGTGTGAAATGATGTGAACAGCCAACATACTAATACATTTACTTTAATTGCATCTGTAACTTTTTCACATTTTGCACATGATAAATAGCCCACGAGATACACTTAGAATCAATGCAGGTTTTACAGTAGCAAGTGGAAGTAGTGATGTAGTAGTCTTTGGTCCTCAGACAAACAGAACCAGAAAGCAGCATGCAAGCCATTATCAAAACACCAGAAACAACCCTGACTGCAGCCTCACGTTCTGTGTGTTTCACAGTAAGAAACATTTAGGCAGTGTCACACCTTCTCATGAAGAAACAAAAGGCCATAAACCAGGCCTTCTCAACTTTCATGAAAAAAACTACAGTAGAAGTCAACAAGTCCTAGCTCGAGACATATCGAGTTAGTAATGGTTCAAAATGTTGAAATATACATTGATTCAAAAAGGGCGTCCATTCAGTGCAGCTTAAAAAAACCAATAAACACCTCTTATGGAGGCATTTAGCTACAAAGGTTCCCACCCCTGAGCAAAATACTAGTTGCGCAAACAATGCCACACAGAATTTTTTTCTTGCCTGTCAAAATAAAAGCTTTAAAATCCTTCAGGAGGAAAATACACACCTTTGGGTCAACCTGAAGTGCAAAGTAGGCCAGGTTGCAGCAAGCCAAAGATGTAGCATCCCTTTTCAGAACCAGCCCCTCTCCCCTTTTAAACATTGTCTATTCATCTGTTGGAGTGTAATTCTAACCCTTCAAATACTATCCCTAGCCACAAAAGAAGGGTTGCAGTTTCTACTAAACTGGATATTCACACATTAACATCCACTACCTTCCCCTCCACTTGAGGGTGAGTAATGAACAGTGCATAAGTAAAGTGACAGTCTACAATTGACCCTTAAAATGTACTAGTGTACATTTTGTACTCATCAGTACTTCTGAAGAGGAAGGCTACAGTTTATCCTACTTTTAACATTGAATTGGGATTTGATCCTGAAAGATGCTGAGCACTTATGCCTAAATGCTTTGCTGGATTGGAGCCAGTGGTGAATTGGAGCCGAAGTGGTCAGCACACCTTACAGGATCAAACCCTGGGTGGATAGATTTAAAAGCTAAGAGATACCAATTATGTTGATATTTAAAAGTGAAAAAAGGGAATAGGATCAGGTTTGTTTTACAAATGGAGGATTATTTTAATTGTTGGCAAGTCATCTCATTTAAAAAAATATTTGACCCAGAGGAATGCAGTGTCAAAGCCAAAGTCTTATGATCCCAGAATGTATAGAGCGTATTTTGAAAAGCCAATTATATATTTATCATCAAATTGAAACTATACATTGATACATGCAATATAATTGCTAACAATAGTTTTGAATGAACAGCTTTAGACTCTAAAAGTGTAACCTTGTAGTTCTTAGTTAAATAATATATTCATGCAAAAATGTATGCACTTCCTGTAAAATACCTTTAAAATGCCCTATTTTTGAAATCCTAAAATATTCATTATATTTACAATACAATCTGCTTTTATATAGTGTCTCACACATATATTTAATGATTGCTATAGGGTACAGAATTTTATACCACAGAATTAGAAAATATTTACAATAGATTTGCCTTATTTTTAACTTTTCCTCCAGATCCTGCCCACTATACACTCAATACTATTTGTCTTTAAGAGTTCAAAAAGAAGCTCTAACATTTTAACGCCCTGTTCTCAATTTGGCAACAATCATAGCTGCCAACTGTTGTGCGTCTGTCATATGGGGATTTTTCTCCATTACCGAGAGGACAATACCAGCAGGGAAAATATTGCAGAGATTCTTGTATGTCTGATACTGATGTTCTGGAATAATATGCTGTTCCTGTGGCTCTCCACATACACCAATCCAGGGATTCCTCCACAGTTGCTCCATCTTTTCAGGCATGCTTCTTACCATTACAGGTTCATAACATGGTTGCATGAGATTGTTGCTCAGTGGATAGGAGTGGTAAGCGTAAGTATCAGCAGCACATGGTAATGGATCCCAACTAGCATGCTGCTCTCGACAGAGGGGTGGCCTTCTCTGCCGCATAGGGTTACTTTCATAAAGCCGTGAGTCAGAAATACTGTCCATTCTTGTCATGACCAAGGCACGGCTTGGCTGTGCAGTGGCTGATGGATGAACATTCTGAGGCACTGGGTAGTCTCCTGGACAACTGGACCGTGCTCCAACAACTGGATGCTGGACATGCAGTGCTAAATGGGAAACAGACTGTTTGCGAGGGAGTTGTTTAGGCTCTTCAGTTCCATAACTCTGAACTCTAGTTAAGGCTTCATGGTAACCATGGGAAAAAGGCTGAAGACGATTTTGGGATGAAAGTCTGTGGACCTTCACATTGTCTTCTGCCCTGGCATCTGCTACACCCAGATACAAATCATTATAAGAGGAATACGAATCATTACTTGTATGGCTTAAGCGATTGTCAGGACAGGGGCTTGAATTTCTAGAGTACATCCCTTGGTCTGCATTAGCCCCATAATAATCTGTGTTACGCATACTGCTTATGCTCAAATTGGAGAAATCACTGAGCATGGAATAGTAGCCATGGTCTCCTAAAGATTCATATTTGGGATACTGGTCTGTATAGCTAACAGAAGTGCCATGGCTATTGGTGACCAGTATGGGAGGATACTGCACACTGGCCATGTGTTCTAGTGAGGATTTTTGATGAGTAAATTGCGATGACCCTGGTACAGGGCTGCTTGCAGAACGAGTATTTAATGCACCAACAGCATGGCTTTTTGAAGGAGGGATTGTTGGTACACTTAATGCAGAAACAAGAGAAGGGACAGAGTTGGCTTCTGACTTCCGAGCTACTGACAGTCTTTCCTCAGGTTCCACAGCAACTGATCTAATGCTTGGGTCTGACTGGCGTTTGGGGGCAATACGTTTCACTTCAGAATTGATTTCTCCTTTGGAAATGGATGATCCTGTGCCACATTTGGCCAAAGCTCCCTCACTCATAGTTTTCACAGCAGACAATTTGGCACTTATTCGAAGCTCATCTGCTACTGACCTCTGAGGCTGATTTGCGCGTTCTGGATGATAATATTTACATTTGTGTCCATAGGTGCATTTTTTGCCTGCAAAAGAAGTCTCCAAATTAAACATGTCAAAAACAATCAATCCCACAGAAAGCTATATTACAGTAAGCTAAACAATCTATAACCCACTAACCCTATAGAGGTGTTAATGGGCCACTCTACCTGGAATGGTCCCTTGCAATATGTGCTAACTACTTATGCTAAACAATCTGTTCCACCTTGCATTTTGCTGTGAGTACCTTCCCAGACCTGAAGAAGAGCTCCGTGCATCTCAAAAGCTTTTTTCTGTCATCAACAGAAGTTAGTCCAATAAAAGATATTGCCTCACCCACCTTGTCTCTCTAATGAGCTAAACAAAAAGATTCAGTGTTCAATACTGTATTATTTGTAATACTTTTGGGGTTGTAGAGTGAAAGTAGATGTTTATGAAAATAAAGAACTGAGATGAGCACAGGCACCGACTTTCATTTTTCTGGGTAGGTACTCCACCCCTGCTCTGCTGAGGCCCCGCCTCCACTCCACCCCTTCTCCCAAGACCCCAACGAGGGTTCCACCTCTTCCCACCCCCACTCTGCCCCTGCCCCAAGTGCACCCCACCCTCGCTCCGCCTCTACTCTTCTAGTAGAAGCAGCTGATTGGGGGAGGCTGGTGCGTGCTGAGCACACACTATTTTTTTTCCCTGTGAGTGCTCCAGTACCGGAGCACCCAGGGAGTTGGCGCCTATGATAGACTAATCTGGAGTTTTGTATATACAAGGGCAGCTACTGAGCATGTCTTCTGCTCACAGCTCAGCTGTGAACTGTAGTGCTCTCCATCATATTATAATTGTTGAGCACTGATAATCTGCTCATTGCTGTACAAGACAAAAGAGTATCTCTATCACAGAACTTATACAGTACAGGACTTCTCCTCCTTTGAGTAAAACTATAAAAAGCTATCATACCATTTTGTAATGTGGATAAATATCCACTATGAATTTGGACCCAGGGCTTCACAATTGAAAACCTATGTGTCTTCACCTTTTGAATTATTTCCCTATCCCAAATGCTATATATGTTTCTTTAAAAAAAAAAAGGTGGAGATTGAAGCTAGTGTCCAATCTGGATGCTAGCAAGTAAAACAAGCCTGGTTTTGGTTTTAAAAACTTAAGGGAAGGCTAATTACATGATATTAACTTTTTACTAAAGTCTCCCTTTGTACACAGAACTCAATCTGACTGTTGTGTACCTACCATAAGGGCATGGTTGTTTTTTATGTTCAGGAATAACAGGCCTTTTTCTTAGGAAATTTTCAAGGCTTGGACCATGGCGTCCTAAAGGATCATCAGGAGGCATAAATCTGGAGAGAAAAAAAGATGAAATATCAATTTCACTTTCCACTGTGACCTTTAACTGTAAATTTCACAATATAAAGAACATACTTGTCATTCACAAAAGAATACATTAGCAGACGTTCCTCTATGAATTTCTTCCACTCTGGCTTTTCATTCTGAAGATCCCGATAATTGTCATTTGACACAATGATGCCATCTGAGTCAAAAGCCAGTTTTACTATGAACCGGTCATCATAGCAGACCACCCTTCTTCCCTGAACTCGCCGAGATGGGGTGAAGACAAGAATTTTTTCTTTCTCCAATTTACGTAAAATTTCTTGATCTGCAGGATAAGTTTAGATGGTTTAAATAATTGCATTAAGAAACAAGCCACTCCAAGTTTTCACTAAAAACTGTTTTTTGGTTGTTGTTTTTTAATTTTATAGTGGAAAGGGAGTTCAATAGTTCCTGACTAACAATAATACTTTGCATTCAATATGCTCAGATGCTATGATCATGGAAGGAAATGTAAGCATCTAGACTTATATGGCACTTTTCCTCCAAGGATTTCAAAGCACTTTACAAATATTCAGGCTTCTCACCCACTCCCATTCCACAAGCACTGTACAATCAACCTGCTATTCCTGGCTCAATAAACGTGCAAATACTGTGGTCTAAAGTCTATACTTGCTCTACATCACCATCCAAGGATTCCACCTCTGTCAGAGGAATCCTGGGCTGCTTGGCAATCTTAAAACAGGTTGAGTAAGGCCAAGAAGCTATCCTTATATTCCTAAAATCCTTGTCATTGGGAGGAAATATTAATATTTCTCTCCACAGTACAGAAATTTATTTTATCAGTATTAGAAAAACCTATATTATTCCTACTTGCAGGTACTTATAATGGACTTTAACTAGCAAAAGTCTCCCTCAGTTTCAATTTGAGTGCTGAACCTTCTGGTCGCCATCCTCCACCCAAAAGTTGACTATTTCAGTAGTGACATACGTGTAAATTTGTGAAGCTGTTGGGAATGTCTTTTGGGATGAAAGATAAAATATCATTTTACTGAATTAACATTGCCTCAAATTATTTGCTCCATGCTTAAGATAATCCTTTTAATCCAAGAAACAATTTTTTGCTACAATCTTGTAATAATACAATTATTTTACCACAGGATGAAAGTTAATCTTTTTAAAATGCTACCTGTAATTGGTGCATCAGGTCGAGACTGCTCTTTTCTCCACGCAGGTACAAATACAGTGATATCTTTATGTCCTTTCTCCAGAAACCACTCAACAGCTAGCTGAATTCCCCGACAGGAAAATTCTTCTTTATTCCCATGGCTTAAAAATATGGCAAAGTATTCGTTTAAACTAGGATCAGAAAGAGTTAGCAAATGACAACAAAGAACTAGCTAATGATGCTTACTGCCATGGTATAGACATTTTATAATACCTATACACAAAAAGAACAAATAGATTTCACCAATAGCAAAAGGGTTTGACAAAAATTTAGTCTTTTTCAAAATGAATTTTTTTTTTTAAAAAGGGAATGAAACATCAAGGATTTCTCAAAGATTATAGTTTACTCTGTTAGTGAATCAAGTCGTATTTCAATAGCATTCAATTCAGATGAAGCATCTTTAAATCACTCTACAAACTTGATTCACTTTCGAAAATGGCAACATAAGTTAGTTTTAGAGAAATATGGATTTCTGAAGAGTTTGCTGAAAATCATTTAAGGCCCTGATTGTGCAACTCACTGTGTTCATGGATGTACCGCTACATTACAGCAATAGGCAATGAATTGCAGGAACAAGTCCTAAATCTAGTGATGTTATAGGCCTTTCATGCCTCATTCAGGAGAGCACTAGTCCGCACTGCAAATGAAATCCTATGGAAGTCAGTGAGAATTAACTTTAAATCATGCTTAATGCTATCCTGAATCAGGGCCTTAGTATTTTATTTGATCAGTAGATTAATTTCTCACCAGTGACCTAATTTTACAGAGAGAGTCTGTGTGTGTGGGGGGGGGGGTATTCGAAATTTATTTGGATATCATATGTAACAATTCTGATTATTTTATTGTAGAAAACATCTGAACTGCACACTTTTAAATGTGTTTTATGGAGGAGAGAGGCCAGATGGGGTAGAAAAATAATTGAGAACTGTACAAATCTATTACAGCTCACTCACTGGTATTTTGGTTGTATTTGAGAACCTAGACCAGATCCTGCATTTTGGAAAAGTAATTTATTTCAATGTATTGTCTGTTTTATATTTGCATTTAAAAAATGGTATTTTGAGGTATTTCAGTTAGGGGAAGGGTGATTTACTTTTTTTTTTACCCATTGTGGATGTGCCTTTCACAGATGTACAACTGCAGATTTCTCATAAGCTACTTGGTTAGAGTGAAAAAGTGATATATGCTTTAAAAAAGATTATAAATAGTAGTGCCTGGACACCCACACAACTACTACACCCACTCAGTAGAAGAGCATAAACTGTAAAAGTCTGCAAGTACTTTACTTGCTGATGACTGTTTAAAATCAGTCTTTAGTGCTAAACTAGTGTACAAGGGTACTACAAAATTCAGAGCAAAATTAAAAATAGCACTTGAATATATTTAATAAAATAACTTGGATGATGATTCACCAATTGCCATATACAGTAACTCCTCACTTAAAGTCGTCCCGGTTAAGGTTGTTTCATTGTTACGTTGCTGATCAATTAGAGAACATGCTCGTTTAAAGTTGCGCAATGCTCCCTTATAACGTGGTTTGGCAGCCGCCAGTTTTGTCCACTGATTGCAGAAAGAGCAGCCTGTTGGAGCTAGCTGGTGGGGGCTTGGAACCAGGGTGGACTGGCAGCCCCCCTATCAGCTCCCCGCTCCCCTAAGTTCCCCGTGCGGCAGCCGCACAGCAGGCTATGAATTGCCAGCAGTTCTGCTGTCCCTCCCCCCACTGCCATGTGCTGCTCCTGCCCTCTGCCTTGGAACTGCTCCTGGGAGCCTCCTGCTTGCTGTGCGGGGCCGGGGGCGGCTAATGTCAGGGTGTCCCCCTCCTCCTTGCTCCTGCCCCCCCCCACTTACCCCATCTCCATAGAACAGGGCGGGGGGGGACATGACAGGGCTCAGGACGGAGGCAGCTTGCTGGTAGCAGCTGCTGTCTCAACTTGCTGATCTACTTAAAAAGGCAATGTACTTAGAGTGGGGTCAGTGTATTTAAAGGGGCAATGCATATCTCTCTCTCACACACTCACAGGGT